CCCTGAACCCTGAACCCTCAACCCTACACCCCTAAACCCCTAAACCCTAAACCCTAAACCCTAAACCCTAAGCCCTAAGCCCTGATTTAGGGCTTAATTTTTGCTGCAACTGCCGAACTCCCACACGGGTAGCCTCTCTAAAGTAGGGTCCCTGTTGGGATCCTCTTTGTAAGGGTGTCGTTCTCTTTGTGGGGACCTTTCAAGGGATCCTAATTAATTTAGGGACCCTAAACCCGAAACACCTTAAACCCTAAACCCTAAACCCTAAACCCTAAACCCTAAACCCTAAACCCTAAACCAACCAACCAACCAACCAACCAACCAACCTAAACACCCACATGCCGCTACGTGAGGATACCGCCTGCAGTTCTGCACTGGTCTCGGCAGACTTGGCCCACCAGGCACGGGGGTTCGGGGGTGTCGGTTGTAGGGGTTCAGGGTTTAGGGTTTAGGGTTTGCGGTTTAGGGTTTAGGGTTTAGGGTTTAGGGTTTAGGGTTTAGGATTTAGGGTTTAGGGTTTAGGGTTTGGGGTTTAGGGGTTTAGGGGGGCCTTTGTTTGACCTTCGGCCCCGTGTTTTGTTGTTAAGGTGCTTACAAATCGGTTGCTTTAAATGGGGTCTTTTGGGCTTGGGCTCCCTAAACCCTGAACCCTAAATCCTAAACCCTAAAACCCTAAACCCTAAGCCCTAAACCCTAAACCCCAAAGCGTTCTTCCTGTTTTGCAGGGGTTCTAGGAGCCTCGGTGTAGCAGGAGTCAGGCCCACCGGGCAACCGCTTAGTGTAGGGGCCTGTATATGTACATTAGGGCCAATCATTAGGGTTTGGAGTTAGACTTAGTTCCCCAATACCAAACTTTTAACTTTTTTGGGTTCTTATAAGTTAGTAGTAATCTGAAAGTTTAACATTTTATTTCCCTGGCCTATTGGGGAAGTAAGTAGATCATTAAACGGTTCGATTCAGAAACCCGGAGGAACTAGTATTGGTAATTATTCAGTTTTCTATTGCCGTGTTGTGACAAGCATCTTTAGGGCTCAAAGGCCGAATGCTGGTTTAATGTTTAGAACCCTAACCCTAATTCCTAAACCCTTCAAACCCTACACCTAAACAGAAACCCTAAACCCTACACCCTAAACCCTAAAAGCTTCAAACCCTACACCTAAACAGCGTTTAGGATTTTATGAGCTTTAGGCTTCAGTGCTCGGGATGGTGGGGATCTGCGAGTCTGTGCATTCCAGGGGCCTGAATAATTGCCTCTATTGCTCGTTAGTTCCTTTCTATACTATGACGGTTTAGGGTTTAGGGTTTAGGGGACCTACCCCAGTGCCCTATTATAATTTAATTATCAAGGCCCCTATTTCACGCAACCCCGAAGAGTTTGTAGTCAGCCTTCAGAGAAGACGGTGGATGATCCAAGAGTGCAGGCTTCACTGCTAACTGTGCACGGACCGTCTCTCATGGTGAAGAGAGTCCGAAGTGCAGCTTGTCTTTTGGTCTCTGCGCCCAGAAGCCTAAACATCAAATGTAAATCTGTCGTCCTAAACCCCGGAACCGCTCAGCCGCTAAACCCTAAACCCTTAACCCTTCAACCCTAAACCCTACACCCTACACCCTAAACCCAACCCCAGACCCCTAAGAGCTTTGGGTTCAAGCGGTCTGCGCCGGCCTGGACTGCACAGGACTGCTGCCTGGGCCGGGTGGATGCTGCGTTTGGCGCAGGCTTCACCGGTCCACTGAGTCATGTACCTAATGTAGGGGCCTAAATAGTTACCAATACTATCTTGTGGGGTTCGTTAAAGGGGTCTATAAGGGTTACTATAAGGAGGGTTTAGTGTGTAGGGCTTAAATGATTACCAATACTATTTTGAGGGCTCGAGAACACCCGTAGGCAGGGATCGCTCGTAGCCCCAGTGCAGCAAAGGGCTGCACGCTTTTGGCGCCATAGGCAGCCCCAACTGGCATAGATCTCTTCGCTTCCGCAGAGCCAAAGCTCGCAAGCGAGCCAGAGAGGCTTTTCGCGCTGGTCAGAGGCCTGCCTTCCGAGATCTGCTGCGACTACATAGTCATCACTCTGCGCCGCCTATAGGCGCTTGGTGCCACGTTCGCAGCACTGGCTGCCATATGGGCAGAGGACGCAATCAAGGGCAGCCATGGGCCAACTCAGGACATGGTTATCGTGTTTGGCCTGGGGCATTCTCACCGCAATTGCCCCGGGAACGCAAGCCGCCCTGGAAGGACGAGAGTCGCAATACCCAGCAAGCATTCCCGTCGTATTCTGCAATGCGACCGACGACGGGCAGCGAGCCCAGTGCCAACCGGGATGCGGAGACGGGGGGCTCCGCAACAGCTTCTATACAGAACGCCTTGAATATCACGAGGAAGGCGGAGAACAGGGTCTCCCGCCTACGCATGGCACAAGTCGAAGCCAGCAGAAAGATGACGGAGTACGAACAGAAGCTAAAGGCCGCACTTATCCGCGAGCGCCAGAGACACGCCAAAGACCAGGATCGGCTGGATCGGGAACTTATGGAGGCGGAAAGTGCTCAAGAAGAAGCTCGCGCAGGGCTGCGCGCTGCATTCCTGGCAGAACATATGCAAGGACCGGGGGCTACAGATGTGGAGATGAAGGCAGACGACGACGTCGACAAGCTCTTTGCCTCCTGGGCGGAAGAGGAACAGGCTACAGCCGACCAAGTGCTGCGCCGTGCCATGTCAGGCTTGCCGCCCCGGACGCCTTCGAGACGTACACAAGGGGCACCCATGACTCCGGTGCAGGAAGGACACAGAGGAGCAAACCCTGGCGGCATGAGAGATCTTCCTCCAGGGCCTTCTGCAGTCATGGACCCGTATCAGCCTTCACATCCCCCAGTGGTGGTTTCTACGGCCTTACCGGCCCCCATACCGGATGCAGCAGCGCACCAGGCGATGGCTCCTCCTGGACTTGTAACGGCACCATGCCCAGCTATCCTACCTACGGGGACTATGACCGCGCCGGCACCTACAGCAGCGACCGAGGAGGCAGAACCTGCCCAGTACGGACCGAGCCCGTCCCTGAAGGACAAGCTTACGCGCAGGAGAGCCATAGAGCCTTTCGGTGGTGCAAGGCCCGCCAGTGCAGGCGGCCCCAAGGCAGAATCAGACATCGGACATGCCGGCGCCTTGGCCGCGACTATGCACGGCCAACCGGCACACTTTGTGGAGGACGACGAGGAGGCCAGCGAAGACTTCGACCAGCCCCATTGGAGGCCACCGGGAGACACTACATAGTGGCAGGTCCCCAGCGGAGGGTGAGACGTGGCCGCCTCCTTGACCGACCTTACACCGGTCCATCTGCTGTCCGGTGTACGGTTCGCGACGGCGGCTGGCTACGTTTTCACTATCTGCTGTTGGACCTACCGGATGGAGTGAATGAGCTTGTACATAGATTTCAGGTAGGCTGGCAGGAACTGCGCAATACGGCCTCCCACACCCTCTTACCTGTCACACCTCCAAGCCCTCCCGGCTGCTCTTTCCAACACCCCTTCTTGGATTTCATGCTGCCTTCGACCAGCGGACAAGCTGCCTGGGTTTTTGCAGCTATGCCTTGTGGTTGCCACTACTTCTCCGCTTCGGCAGTGCCAATAGGTACCCTCTCGGACCACGCGGCATTCTATCAAGATGCCCCTCCATATCCCTATTCGGGCCTAATAAGATCACGCCTTCGTGCATTTCATTGCCAGTCAACTGAGGACACTGCGCATTGGGTTCTTGCGTCAATTCCTCCGTTTGGCTCTTCTTTCTCCTCTAAGGGAAAGCAACACGGGACTGGTGTTATCACTCCCTTGACCCCGCCAGGGCCTACCACGAGCTGCTCTCTGCCATGGCATACGGGAGCATGGTTTTCGCCTTATATTCCGGACGGCAGTTTTGGGTTTTTCACTATGCCGTTTCTTCTCGCCAATCCCCACCGTGGGACGGGTCGCTGGCCCCTCTTTATAGTACGATTCTTTTGCAAGGTGCCAAATACCCGCATCGGTGGCTCAGGGGCGGGAACTTGCAAGGAGTCATTAAGCCATCGATTCCGACCATGTGGGTCCTTCCCTTCGTCGTCTGGATTTTTGTCTTCCT